TTTGGATCTTTAGTGTTAAAGTGAGGTTTATCATGCATAAATATCATAAAATTATTATATAAGTTTATTTTAATTTAAGTCTCATTATATATGTGAATCTATTTAAAATTATGTTAATCAATAATCAGTTGTTATAATTGGATGAAGTATTAGATTTCTTAAATAAAATAGGGTTTAAAGTTCAAACCCTGACATTTGTGAATACATTAAATAATAATTTTAGTAAAATTAGATATATTTCAACTATCAAATTGTTTTTAATGATTGATGTTGATTAATATAAATACATTAACTACAATTGTAAATCATTTATGCAATGTATTAATTCAGACTATATCAATATGGATGCATTAGTTGTAATTATAATTGTAACCTATATACATAAAAAAAAAATCAAAATATGGTTTGATTCATCGATGAATTATTAATAATTTTTTGTTGCAATGATAACATACAATACATTTTTTTAAATATAAATTCAAACTCTATAAATAATATTATTAATAAAACATAAAATTTTAACATAAATTATAAAATGAAAAACATCAATAACAAAAGAAATTAAAATTAATAGAAGTTGAAGCAATATATCAAAACAATTGTTGAACATATTGGTTTTGTGGGACTGTGATACATTCCCACAATTATTTCTTCCTTTCTCCCTCATTCATTCACCTTCTTGGTCGTCTTTGCTTTTCATTTCCCGTCATGGTTTGTTTTTCTTAATCTTTTTTCCTTTATCTGAAAGGGAAATTAAATTATATTACGGATAATGGTAAGAAAATAATTGCAAAACAAAAATACATAAATTATGCGGAAAATAAGAATACACTTTGCACTATAATGCTTTTACCAAATATTGAGAATGAGACTGGGCAACCACAAAGGAGTGGGATGGTCCAAGCTGTTGCCTTTAGCATCTGTTCCCTTGCCTTGCACATCTATAGATTGAAAAAGAGCCTTTAAGCATTAGTTAACTGGACCTGGACCAGCAGCACCACCAGTAGGCGTGGGTGTCTCTCCTGATAAATACCCCATCCATTTCTTTTGCTTACCATGCACGTGGTATGTGTTAAAAAGTAAGGTATTCCCAAAAGCATTGCCTTGGAGAAAACCAAACTTGGTGGAAAATACTTATCAAACCCACCTTTTTATTTTGATCAACTTTCTCTTCGTGTTGTTATTTCTAAAATTTTGATACTTGAACTGATTGAGTGTTAGTTCGATTGATATCGTTACTCTTATATATTCTTAGAGATTACAAGTTCATTTAAATGCATAATGGCCCTTCGGATTGAATATTGTTAATTTATTATTCATATCTGCTTTCTTTTTAGTATCAAATCTCAGGAACCTAACTCTATCTCCTACTAAAGTTTAGGGTCTACCTGGCTTGACTTCAAAGAAAAAATAATGCAGGGTTATGATTGAAAGTGGAAAACAAAATATGAATTTGCAGCCTTGAGTTACTTTCTCTTCTCACCCTTTTTAGTGAAATATTCCGTTATTGATAAGGTCAAAAATCAAAATATCGTTTGATCACAAAGGGATTTTTGATAATTACTTTATGTGACCAATGCAAGCTTCCATACAAGACACACTTACATATTTGTGATGTTCATACATGTGTGCTTTCATTGTTGCTTGCTTGATCAATGCTTGTATTAACCTATATTGTATCATCTATGTTCTATTCTGTTCTTTGAAACCAACATACAAGTAGGCTTGGGCTCATAGTGCTTCGTTTAGACTAGGCTTAGGTTCTTCGTTGATTCAGTGGGTTCTGACATGATTTAAATTGGTCCATGGGGATCAGACTGAATTGGAAGGTAAAACAGGAAGACAGGTTTTTGGAGTTACGACCCAAAATTTAGGAGAAGACAAATTATCTTACGCTTAAAGATCAAATAGATTCCACAAAACCATGCCTGGAAAAACACGCATCAATCAATGGAATCTGCATCTTCTTTTGTAACTTCATTATACAGAAAGAGCTGATCAAAGGTCACCCCTTTGCTTGTTTTATTCTCATCTTCCAAACACTTTCTATCATATGAATCTGAGGAATCTAACGTGTACATACACCAGACATGCTATTTACCCTTTTGTATGTGTATGTGTCAAGCAAACAATGATATTGATATATCAGCCAGTTTCTTCTTGTCAATTGACCTGTGAGTCCGCCATTGCATTGGTGCATTTGGAGCTTCGACGCCGTCGAATTCCGAATCGAGCAATGTTCTAAAAGCCTTCACCTTTGTTGGTGTGCTATAGGCAAAATGCAACTTCTTTGCAATCACAGTCTGCAAAACATTGTCAAAAATCAAAATCAAGCAAGAATTTTGTGTATAATCAGAATTAAACCATGCATTAATGTACTCACAGCTTCTCTGATTGATTTAGACACATTAAAACAGTTGCTTCAAATCATCATAATCCACACCACAAATAACCCTAATCTGAAAAAAAAAACAGAAACAAAAAGGGGTAAAAAATTTATCCCAATCACCAACCAGATTCCATAAATAGAAACTTTGGGGGGGGGGGGGTTTCAGTGCTTACGAGAACATCTTGTGGAAGCGATTCAATGGCTGCTTTTCGATTATAATCATCAATCATCATCGTTCTTTCACTGCATTGCCTTTTTAATGCGGTCGAAGTATCGAGAGGAAAAGATCCAACCCTTTTCCTCCCCAATCCGTGTGAGTATCTAACGAACCCAAACCCTAAATCTTCTTCTTCGTCCATAGTAACGTGGTCCAACTTCAGTGACGAACGACGGCATAACCTGTACGAACTGGATTCCATAACTAGAAAACTCCGAAACTCTTTTAATAATCTGAATTGAACTCAGGGTAAAGTGACTCAGACTGTAGTTTTCACTCGGAAACTGAATCCATAAAGGGAATAAAATCTAAAAACAGCTTCTTACACTCCTTAGATCTCAAAACCCAAAGAAAATTCTTTTAGAGAAACACGCACAAAACAGAAACTAAACCCGGGCCAGTAAAAAAGGGTAAAGTATACAAATGGTCATTAATGTTTGTGTAATTTTTCGTTTTTCCTACATAAATTTCAAAAACAACAAATTGGGTGGCACATTAAACCACCTGACTTAGCATGTTTGACCATGCAGGACACTCTTTGACCGACCGTTCTTCTTCTTCTTTTTTTCTTTGCATTCAAATTGCTCATATGTAAATCTATCAACCGGAGATTATAACTGAAATTCCCAAGGCATTCCAGAATAGTTCCACTCATACTACTTTTGGACAGGTCCAAAATTAGAAGTACAGTCAAATTGCAAACAGAAGAAGAGATAATTCCTGTCAATTTATTATATGAAATTAACAACCCACTCAACTGTCGTATATCTGGAATTTGAAGATTCGAGCAAGTTGATAGAATTGACCCTTCAAGCAAATTGGAACGAAGGTCGAGAAGTTCCCTTTTTTTTTCATGGAAATTGCTCCAAAGTGGTGAGAGAGTTATGAGAAAGGTTCAACACTTGCAGTGCTTCCCACCCTTGAGCCCCCCATTTAGAAATTCCACCAGAAATCATGTTCTTGGAAAGATCTAAAACCTCTAACTTCGAGGTTCTAAAGAAATTCGGGTACCGACTTGCGCTACAAGAGGATAACAACACAGTTGCAAGACGGGGGAAGGAATGGTTCACATCATTACCGCTTGTGCTTAATGATAGCAAACTATTTTTGGAAAGATTAAGAAACTGAAGAGTAGTGAGTTTCGAAAGCATATCTGACTCGATGACACCATTCAAGTGACAAACGAAGTGAAGTAAGATTGACAAAATAAAAAATAGAATGGGGTAGTGGACCATGAAAGTCATTAGAACTCATATGAACATGTTGGACAGAACTAGGTATCTGAATTCGGTTTATGGGACCGGCTAGTTTGTTATGACCGAGGTCTAAATCTAGCAGAGATGGCAGAGTAAACAGCCAACCACTCAAATTGCAGCGAAAAATTCTCAAGGAAGTTAATTTGATAAGGTTTCCAAAAACATCTGGAATCTTTCCTTCAAACAAATTTTCAGATAAAATGTATGGAAGCCATTCGAGTGAGATTTATGAATGGTGATGGAATCAACCCTCTAAAACCACCACAATAAGAAAGGTCTAACGACTCCAGTTTGTCTTAGGGAGATAACCTTTGAGACTGAAACCTATAAGTTTGAGGTTTGGAAGCTGAAAAGCTTGAGATGGAAATTCCCCATGTAATTCAGAGCTCAAATGTTGTAGTGATGAAGTTGAGTTCAGAATGGAAGTGATTGCAACGTCAAAATATCTACACAATCAAGCATAAGGTATCTTAATTTGGTTAAATTTGTTGCAAGCATGTCAAAACCTCAGCCATAAATGTTAAGTTGGAAAAAGAATAAGAGGAAAGATCAAGTGAAACCGAACTCGACAGGAGACTGATTTGACTTGGGATTTGACCAAAGAAGTTAGAAAAAGAGAGATTAAGATGAGTTAAACGAATTCCATATAATTTTCCTCCAATTTATATAATAAGTTATACTTTTTTTAATATTTGTCATTTTCTCATAACAAATTTTACACGTACTGTCATAAATGATATAGATTCTAAAATATTTTTCAGTACATGCATTCTTCAAAAACAAATTCACTTATAATATTTTTAAATTTTATTGTTTTATTTTTTTAAGTTTTTAATCTTAAAACTTAAGTCAAATTTTAAATGGGATAAAATTTTTCTAAATTTAAATTGAATAAAATCGAGATAAAAAAGATATATTAATTGGGTCAGGTTAGATCAGCTGAAAAACAGGCCCTACCAACACACTGTCAACATTAGTTATAGACCAAGGATTAGAAATCAATTTTGAACCTGGGTTCGATTCCCCGCAACGTCGCTATTTTATTTTTGAACTTTTTAAGCTATTTCTTCTTTATTTTCTCTTTTTTCCCTCCCTAAACAAAATCAGCTAAAAACCCTTAAACCCCAAGCCGCTTTTCTCTCATTGTTAGTGTCTTCTTCGTAGTGATCCTAAACCCACTGGAGAAAATTTAATCGGAAAAGCTGCCTTAAGATTGTTTTTTAAGTAATGGAAACCGATGAACCGCCACGCGTGCTTCCCTTTCAACTTCAATTCGACAAACCAGTTGCCTCTCAGGTTTATTTCCATCACTTTTTACTATTTCATTTTCGTCTCTCTTTTTTAAATTTTTTAATTCGATCTTATCTAAATATCCATGATTACGCGTGTCCTTATTTTTCTTTTCCAATTACTTTTTGTTGATTAGATTAAATTTGCGGAATGGAATCCGGAGAAAGATTTGCTGGCTATGGTTACTGAGGACTCCAAGATTTTGCTGCATCGCTTCAACTGGCAAAGACTCTGGACAATTTTTCCTGGTAATTCATGGAAATTATTTTTTAAAATCAATATTGTTTTATTTTTATAATCTTTTGTATTTGACTCAAGTGCTTCGTTTGTTTCTATAATTATATTTATTGATTTGTTGCTTTACAGGAAGGTGCATTACATCCTTATGTTGGTGTCCGGATGGTAAAGCAATAGCAGTCGGGCTCGAGGATGGCACAATTTCATTGCATGATGTTGAAGTGAGTTTGTCTTTCAATTATTTAGTCAAATTTTAGGTTCTCTTGCTTGTTTTGGTTTCTCCCTCTTCATTGGGGATAATCATAATCATCAAATTTGTTCTTAATTCTCATCTATGTTTGGCATCTTCTTGAGGTTAGATTGTTGTTACACATGGTTATACAACAAAATCTGTTCATCTAACTGATATTTTGTATCTCTTGCAGAATGGAAAGCTGTTGAGAAGCTTAAAGTCTCATATTGTTGCTGTCGTGTCCCTTAACTGGGAGGAGGATGGACAAGTGATTAAAGTATGTCTTTGTCTTCTGGGTTGAAATATCTAATTATATTTTAAAAACACGACTTTTAAATATCTTGCACAAGATAAACTTTTCTTCATCTGTCAAGTTTTTTATCTTTCTTTGGGTTTATAGAAATATTTGACATTTTAACTTCCTGATAAGTCTCAAACGGCTTTTGTGATAGGATGATTCTGTTAACAATTCAACATATGAGGACCGAACTTCTCGTTTCTTCCCTCCTGCTCCAAGAGTTCCTCGGATGCCTGGATTGGTACCCGGGGATACCGGCTTCATGGATGATAGTGAAGATTCATTCCGTGAGCTTTCAAATTCCTCATACCAACGGTTTAACATTTTATGTAGCGGTGACAAAGATGGAAGCATATGCTTTAGTATATTTGGAATATTTCCGATAGGGAAAATAGTAAGCTACTTTTCGATCTTGAAAATTACTTTCTGGATTGTATTGATTAGCTGATTTACATTATTGACAGGAGTTTATTTTATGGCTTTGATACATCAAATTGATACCCTTCTGTCATTTTACTTATATTTTCATGGACATTGCAAAATCACTTGTATTTCTCTCCTAAAATACTAGGCATCCTGGATTATTATTCATGGTTCAGAGATAGACATATTTTTTCATGCACAAATTATATTTTGCTTATCTTTACATTTAATGCAGAACATAATCACCTCTATTTGTTTCTTCTAATCTGAACTATTTTGTACTTGAAATTATTTACCAGAACATACACAATTTGTCTATTCCTATTCCCTTTGCAACTGAGCCAACTACATACAGACTTTCAAATGCTTCAATTTCCAAGGTATGCACATCTTAGACTTTACTCTCTTTTTTTACTATTCTTTTATGCCTATAAACTGGACAACTTGTAAGGAAGTGGTTTTCTGGTTGAAAGATCATGCAACTGGGTAATTCATTCTAACTTATAGTAAAAGAATATTTCCCATACGAAAGTAAAACCTATTCAGTTTATTTCAGTGCTTGGTGCTTTGTTTACAGGTCAAGATGTAGTAGACTTATCTGGCATTCCTATTTTGTTATTAGGTTGCATTGTCAAAAGACCTTTGTCATCTGATAGTAATGTGTTCTGGAGAACTTAATCATGATGAGGTTGAATCAGCTGAGAGACAGCTGGATATGCATGGTTTTCATTGCTTACTGCTTGATACTTCTATCTTTTGGAAGAGGTAACTTCTGGAGAACCTGGGAATACCTGCAGTTTGTTTGTATATTTGTATATTTGTAGGTATCACGTTTTGCAGAGATAGATTTATCTTCAGTTAAGCTATTTTCAATGGAATTTAGTAGTATTTGCTCACAGTTTTAACAGTCACCAGTCTTTTATCTGAATTTGATAAATCATGAACATTCTTTATTCCTTGATCCTTTTCATGACCTGCTTTCTTATTGAAGGAAAAATGAACTCCATCAAGTTGCCCAACAAGCTTCTAACATTGAGGATTTAATTGAAGTTATTCGCACATCATTATCAGTAATGTCTAAGCAGTGGAAAGATGCCATGCACACTTTTCATGAGAAGTTTGATTCTCTGTCTAGGTTAATAATTGACCATGGTAACTTTCTGATTGGAGTACTAAAAATTTTAATTTTCCATTTCTGCCGCATATCCATATGTTTTTTTTTCTATCACATGCATGTAGGGCTGGACTCATCACCCCAAGAGGAGTTTCTGAGCCTCCTAGGTGGTGCCCGGACTAGTCCGCCAGTTCATCAGTTTCTAGTTAACTCTCTGGGTGAATTGGTAACTATGCATTATCTGATCATTTCTCTCCTTCTCCTAAGGAAATTAGCTTGCAAAATTTATACAATGGATTTCTTACTAAATAGGGAGTTAAGCGTGTGTCAAAGGTCGTTTGTGGTGCTGGAAAAGAGCTACAGCATGTTGTCCTTGATCATCTTCAGGTGCTTGGTTGAACTTTTCTCTGCAGTTCACACAATATTTACTTTGCAGAAGAATCTTTTACTTGCTAATTTTAAATCATATCATGGAACATATTATTGTTATTAGGTGGATTTCATGAGGTGCATAAATGAAAGTCAAGCTTTCAACTAAGAGTGTGGCATTTGTTATTTGCATATGAATTCTTATTTCTAGCTACCATTTTTTTGCCCAAACTATTTGTTTATAGCCCCTCTGATTAAATGCTTAATTCAGGGGTTTTGCTGTCTACATTCCTAATTTAATGAATATTAGTGATTTTGTTGAATTACTATTAGTTTAGATGGTCACTCTTTAGGGCACGGATTTGTTAAAAAATCTATCGCTAAACATAATGTCCCCTTGTTGTACATGTACCTTTACTAAACCATGAGTGTAGCATTTTGTTGTACTGTGTATATACTATGTTTCACTGTGATGATCTATTTTACAATGAGGCCCCATTTACTTTTCAAAAAAAAAATGTTCTACTTTGAGTGCTTATCCTGATGTGATCCAGCTGAAAATAAATATACATTTTCCAGCCTGCTGCAGAAATTATTTGTTTCAGGATGGGAGAACTTAGAGGTCTTTCTAGATGGCGCACTCGTTTTCAGGGTATTGGCCTCGACGAGACTCTTATCAATAATGCAACAGAAAAATCTGGAATATTACTAGCACAAGTTGAGAGATTTATGAGGGTGCTTTCCTCTGTGGTACAGCAGGTGGTAAACCTTAATATTTGAAGTTCTTTTGGTCTTTCTTCCTTCATTCTCAATCCCCTCACCTGCCACACACTGAACGGAATGAAAATGGTCTATTTTCTTTCGTCTCCTCTGTTTGAGTTCTTATATCAGTCTTTGTTTCAGTTTTCAAACTTCTTTAATTGGTTGCTAAAGTGCATAAAGCTACTTATGCAAGAGCCAAGTGATCAGCTTCTACCCTATAACAGGTTTGTTTCTCCAATATCTTTCTATTTGCCACACTTGATTATCTTTAATTTTGTAGCCTCACATTTTGCTTTTGACAGCGAACTTCTTGTTATATTCTTGAAGTTCTTATATGATCAAGATCCTGTCAAGCCCTTTCTGGAGCTGTCTGAAGTTGATATCGAAACTGAAATGTAAGTTATCTTGTCAACCATCATAGGGTCTAATGGTGCATTTCAATTTATGTTACTTTGGTCTGTCATCAAACAAGATTAATGCATATTGCTTGTTGATTAAGCATACACATAATGTGTCACAGAGCGTGACTATTCATATATCATGCATCTATCTGTTCACAAACTATAGTGTCAGAACACACACCTTTACCTACAGGGAAAAAAGACTCCTTTTATAGATACAATTGTAATGATGCCGAATCTGCTGATTTAGGCTTTAACATGAAAAAAAATAACTTTAATTTTCTTATCAAAAAATAACTTTAATTTTGTACTTTTCAAGCTGCCTACAGAGAATAATTCTCCTTCAACGAGTGTTAGTGTGAATTTAACTGTATCTACATCTGGCATGCACCTCTGTTAAATTACTATTTATCTGATAGATTTTTTTTATGCATCAGTGTCATTGTTTATCCTTAAAAGATTTTGCTGCTTTCTATCCTCCAGGGAAGCAGTGCAAAGAGTTAGAGAATTGGTTCATTTTGGAGGATTTTCTGATTGTGAATATCTAAGGAGGACATTAGCTGAAGAATTTAAACAGATGGAGTCTAGGTATCCTTTCCTTTTGCTTTCCATGGTCGATGTCTTCAATTGTTCAGAGATTTTATCATTGTTAGAGGCATGCATTAATTTATCCTTCCATCTTCATTCCATATGTATTGCCTTTTGAGTTTTGATTATACTTCAAACTGTAATTTGCATTATCAATGGTTGTGCAATTTCAGTTTCAAGGAGGCTTTCCTGATGCCTTTTACTACAATTTCAAGGAAGATGGTTTGTAAGGATGTGCTACCACTGTTTGCTCTACCATCTTCACCTGCATCTGTATCTTTCATGATCCCCATGTCTGTAACGTACTACAAGGTATTCTCTGCCCGCCCTTTTGTCCTCTTAGAATCTCTAATTGTGGTCGTACATTTATTGTTTTCTATATATGTTGCAAATGCTATACATTTCATATTGTTATCCTTAATGTCGGTACCAGTCTGGTTTTCATATCTTTTGGAATACTTATTCGTCCGCATTGTGACGTTTTATCTTTTTCTCTGTAGGGTGCCTCCACTGCTATCTCATCTTATCAGACTCCTGAACACGGGTTTATCGATTATATTTCTTTCCAAATCCATGGTGACTCTTCCTCAAATATCATTAATTGTATAGGTATATCAAGAGGATTCATGCATAGTTTGAGCAATCGTATTGAGGAATCTGCGTCTTTGGAAGCTATTTTGTTGTCGGTTCCTGATGGTTATCACTGTGTGGATCTAGCGTTATATAAGGTGAAAATTACCTTTTAGTTTAGAACCTCTCTCTGTCACTGAAATTCGTTTTTCCTGTTAAACTATCTTTTTCAATTATTCAACCTTCGCATTTTTATCACGAGTCTTTTTGGGATGTTTCTAACTTGATTCCCCCTTTTTTAATTAAAATTTCCAATTACAGGATGGTCAAATCGTTTTGCTATTGAATGAAACTGCTGATGCTTCCGAAAGCTCTGGAGAATCTTGTATGATGATCGTCCAAGCTAATGAACTCCCATTTGTGTCCATTCCAAGATCCAGTTGTGTAAACACCTGGAACCTAGATCAGCTAAAGGTAAATTGTTTATTTTGGCAGATTGTACCACACTTTGTACGACCTGCAATTCGATTGTTTCTGCTGCTCGATATCACTATGAAATTACTACATATTTTTACATGCATGCGAACTCGGTTATTAGTTACCCGACTATTCAAATGAATTCAATAACATTGCGAACTCAGATAGATTTGTAGCCTTTACATGTTTTGATTACCTCAGTCTTAACTTTATGAACTAAAAAACTTTACCCTACTTACCTTCTTCATTATCTCGTATTCATCACCGTCTCTTTCATCGATAACAACCGTTGTTCTTGTCATTTATGCTAGAGCATATCGATTTTAGTTTAAGTTCCGATGCTGAAGTACTTGTCGGAAACTATATCTATGTGCATGTATAGGACTCGATTATGCACCTACAACTGGAGAATGAAAAGGTTCGAAATATCTCACACTCCGTAGTCGCTCCTCTGGCAGTTAGTGGTAAGTTTTCGAATTAACACATCCTACTACCGTCCTATATCTCAACCCGGTTGGATTGTACTATATCATATACATATATATCCTGCTCGTATCTTCTCGTCTTTTATATTCGAATTTACTGTAACAGCATCGAGAGGTGTAGCTTGTGTTTTTGCTGCAAGGAAGCGTGCCTTGGTCTACATACTGGATGAAGATGAAGATGATGTTTCAGATACTGAATGACCGGTCCCTCTCTAACTGTTGTATTGTTTGTTAAACTATATTATGTTGATTTTCAGATTAGGGTGTAAAACTCGTTTAAGGGAGGGATGTATTTATAGCAGTGTATTTATAGCAGTGTAAAAGGATATTTTAATAGTTTAACTGTAGATTTTATCAATATCATTATATGTATTATGCATGTAATTTTTTTAATCAATTTAATCTCTCTATGATATTGAGTCGGAGTAACGTATTTATTAATATATTTAAAGATTAAAATTTATATTTTTGTTTTGATCACCTAATTGTTTTTTTTTAAATCATTCTTAGTGTTACGATTTGTTTTATTTTGTTATCATGTTGTTAAGTTTGATTATTGACTAAATAGAAATTGTGATGTGACACGGTATAATAATAGTTTTAGTCTCAAAATTTACATATTCTATTGAATTGATCTTAATTGGATATAATTTAATAAATCTTTAATATTTAAAAATCTTATTAGTTCGGTTCTCATTTTAATTTGATATGATTTAATAATATTTTTTTTAAATATCCAGGATTTATTGAATTGTTTAGAATTGTGATAAATTTAATAGAATGTGCAAGTTTTGGGACTAAAATTATTATTATATAATATTACATTATCATTTTTGTTAAGTAAATGGTCAAATTTAATGATAAGATATTAAAATAGAAATAAAATATAATATTAAGTATGATTTTAAGAAAAAAATAATTTAATAATCAAAACATAGGATAGAAATAAAATGTAACATTAAGGATGATTTTTAAGAAAAAATAGAGGATATTTAGACAAGTCATTATCCTCCTCTAATGTAAAGGAAGACAGAGGATATTTTAGGAAGAACGTGAAGTTATGTAATCCACATGTTGGATTTGGCAGGGTTCAACCCACAGGACAAGAAGAGTCGTTCTCTCCTCCAGTGTTATTTAATGGAAAAAGCAGAGAGCGAGGAATGGAACAGAGAAACTGGCAGATCCTAATATATTCGTGCAGGGACCATACGATCTGATATGATATCCAGCATATATGATAATAATGCATTGCACATACATAAAATACATTATTTCTTTTGTAAGCCCCTGAAACTGACAATTCAATCAGATTCCTCCCATGTGCCATTATTATAACACCGAGAAAACGTTCTACCCTAAAATTAAAACACATCTCCAATATGTTTATGCCATACTTTGTAATTTGGGCCATGAATTATTTTATGTCCATTTTAGTCCCTAAACTCGGTAGCGCTTCTCATTTTTTGTCATTTCAGTGGTGTCAATCTAACATTGTGACACATGACAATTCAAAAGACCACATCATCAAAATGATAAAAGTTTTAAGTTTAAGGACTAAATTGAAAAAAGTTACTAAATTTAAGGACTAATAATTACTTTATCGTTTACTTTTTAAGGGCAAATTGTAATGAACGTCTCTATATTATGTGTTTTCACAGGATTTAGTACCTCTATTATTATTTAATCTTTTAACTTTTTGGATTAATTTTATCAAATAATTTGATAACACCACGATGATGTGTCAGAAAATTGGTCTTAAGATTGAAAATAAATGCTTCAATAAAGGGACTAAATCCATAAAAATACATAGTACAAGGACCTTCTCCAGAATACGACACTTTTTATGTTACATTTAAACGGAATAGAAATACATCTATTACTACATTTCACGTCTCCTCTGCTAAGACGCCACCTAAAAACACTAGCTATGGTGGATGATTACTGTACCGAGAAATGTTGTGGCAGTTTTGTTACGATGACTCCTAACCATAAAAATGAATCGAGCTTGAACGAACGAGTTTTCGTGCATTATCGGACCTGAGATGCGAGGAACTGAAGCATGATTCTAACATCATATCCAACCAGCTTTGCCTACGGATCATCCAACTCGACGAGGTGCGCCCGCCTTTCGGCCACCTTTTGCCGAGTGAAAATGCCCCATCTAAGGGCTGCTTTGAGCTTCAGCCACCCCACCACGGCTTTCCCCGACGAACTCAAAGCATCGCTGTTGAAACCGTAATTCACATATGAGTTCGGCATGTGTGTCGATGCATAAGGATAACCATCTTCAGACGGATTGAATGTAGCATGGCCAGGGTTTCCCAAGTTAAAGATACGTAGCAGATGCTGCATTTCCTCATTTTCGACCATCTCGTTACTTCTCATTCCGATCTCCTCCTCCGACAAGAAATCATCTAGAGCCGGTGGCTTGTATGTCGGAATGTTAGACGTGGCGACTCCGTGGAAACTCGGCATGGATGACTGAGATGGACCATGAGCTAGCTCATTATCATTTAACTGAGTCTGGGCATTGAGATGTACCATGGGAGCTTCATAATCTAAAGAGATAAACACAGTAAAAGAAATGCACATTATCACTTTAATGAACGATGTTATCAATTTGGACATAATCATACCTCCGACATTTAGACCGGAATCTATGGGAGGATACTCCGAAGGAACTGGAACCGACAGGCTCGGGGGAACCTGGTGCTGTTCAATTGAACTCGGATAACCTTGCAGATCCATCGGAACATTAGCTTGTGAAGCACCTCCATTATCGTCTTCGTTACTGCCTTGTAGAGATTTACCATCATACTCAATAACATGCATCCAATTTTCATAAGCCTTCTTTACCAAGGCATCCACATAAACCTGCAGAAGCATAACCAGTGGAAGTTTGGGTCAATCTGAGTTTCGGTTGTCGACTTTTTATAACTGAATTGGGGATGGATTGAATTCGTGTTCGGGTTAAGCGGATCGAGTTAAAGTTCTTTTTACCTTCTGATTGTCCGAAAGCGAATCGGCTGCATAGTATTGTCCATTTGCAATTAGGCCACTCAACTCATGGATATTGTTGAACACTATGCCAACATTCCTCACACAATCAGGGTAATAAACAAAGAGTTTCCCACTTAGAACACAAGTCCTTGCATGCTCCAACAAAACATCCCACATCTTGTTAGACATTCCACTCCCAAGAATCTACAAGAAATGTGTAAAAAAAACACATATACATGCCATAGAAAGAACAAAACATAATTTCGATTCGATCCTAATCCAAATAGTAACATTTTCGGGTTAGAGTACAATGACTAAATTTACAATTTACGTATACTGTAAGGACTAGAGGTAGAATCGAAATTCTTACATTTCTCAGTCTCTGTGAATCCCTAACCACAAGTCTTAGAAAATCTTCAACTGTGAAAATCCCAGCTTTGTTAAGCCTCTTGTGAAATGACCCATCTTTGCCGATCTTCTCCAATCTCCACACTTCATCATGTAGTGCTGGTGGATAATGTTTCTTGTATACTAAAAAGGGCAAATGATTCAGTGGCTCTCAAGTAACCAAAAGTTAAGCCTATTATCATCATCAAATAACTTCAAAGAACTTACATTCTCCTCGGTGGTCCTTGACTGTGAAGGCGTCCGTTTTCGCTTCGCGAACACGGACGCCTTCGCAAGAATCGGAAGCAACCTTTAGCCCGAGTCTGAATTTCCTGCTCCTTATCCAGCTCGAGTTATCGGTGAAAGTAAACTCTCCCAGTGTTCCCATACCATCCTTCAGAATCACCTGTTAGAATTTGTAATCGGAAAAATATAATTAATACAAGATCGACATAGAATAAATCATACACAAGAAAGACTCGATAGTCTAATATCATACCTGCAGATCACCGGTTAGTAGCGGCCTTTTCCCTTCACGCTCCTTCACGACATGGCTGTCGAATTCTTCTTGAGTCCAGTTATCGTCGTCTTCGTTGTTGAAATCGCCCTCGAGGACGACGACATCGAGTTTGGCCGAGGACTCTGGTCCACAAGTGACAACATGGCCGGTGTTTGCATCAATCAAGACAACGTGGATAGCACCACCTTGTTCTCCTTCCACTTTCCCTCCTGTAAATAGAGGGAGGGACAACCTTGATTTAAATTGCAGCTGCATATTTCTCCCATCATGGCCTTTTATCCGTTTAGGGGAAGAAGAAGGCCTGCATGCTGGCGTTAGTGTTATAATAACAACAATGAAAAAAATTTAGAAAAAAAAATCCAAAGGTCAAATTACAGTTTTGATCCTTTCAGTTTGCTTAAATTTAAGATTTTGTCATGATAGATCATATTATTACGTTAAAGAAACAATATTTTAAAGCAATGGTAAAAGTGAAGTTCATACTTAGGATTAAGCTTGGCAGGGCTTAGTTTTGCTAGAGCACGTTCCACTTCTTCACTGACCTGTGTGTCATATTGCAGAGACCAGAAGAGCGTTTATGAGTTTATATAGACCATAATAACTTATGTTATTGAATTCAAATTCAAGTGTCAAATATAAATATTACGATAATAAAGAGTCTAAACAGTACAGGTAACGATAATACCCTTGAAATGAGAAAATGAACTAAGTAAAGAGCTTCAAATAAAAAAAATCAGAATCTTACAACTCTACGAAGAATTGGCTCCAATGATGAACACAGTTTCTGCAGACTATCCACCTTTAAAGCTTCAACAATCACACTGCACACACCAACATTCAAAGCTTTAACGTTAACACGAGAAAAACAAACTTCTCGGGTCAAAAAGTATTCATCATGCATGTCTATCAGTAGTCGATATCATGGGATCTGTCATATAAGACTACTGAAGAGCCAGTAAAAAAGGGTTTTTCTTTTTTCAGTCTTCTGAGTCATGACCCGTCAGCTGACTCATCATCTTCCTGAGTCCTGTCGTGCAGACTCGTGCTGGGGTCATCAGTACGAGTCCAACTGCACCAACATCCATGCCACAGTTCATCTTGTTGGCATAATATTGTTGAAGTGATATGTATACACACAGAGACATATACACAAGCATATAATGTATACACATATTGTACGTATATATATGATGTAGAGAGTAGAATAAAGAGAGAAAAATACACCTAGCAAGAGCTGGACGTTTCCTATCAGGTCCTTCATCTCCAGAACTCGGGGAATCCAAACATCTCTTCTCTCTCGACGCCATACTTTTCGACCCTTCCACGTACCTCGTT